TTATTGAGCTGTCCTTTGAAATACATACAAATACTAGAAGTTATAAGTTCCTAAACGGCTAAACCTAATCATAAGCATTTCTAAAGTCTAAAAGAGGCAAGACAATAACACCAGAGACTAAAACATTAGGTACTCCTGACAAGGTCTCGGTGAAAACCAGTAATTATACCTAGGTACTTAAGTATAGGTACATAAACCAACACGAACCTACGCGGAAACAAGCAAATAGCTGATACAAGTATTTAGTGGCCCAAGCTATTTATTTATTCATTATACATGTAACTGAGAGCATATCTCGATTAGGCTAAGGTTAATTGATTCACTACTTAAACAAAAATGTAAACTGTCACTCTAATTTACAACAAGTTTATATAGGTAGGTATACGAATGAATAGGGTTTAACAAAACAAAACTAAACAAAACTTTTTACTATGCCGTTCAAAACTATTTTAATATTTAATATAATATACATATATTAAATAAATATTATGTATATATATATATATCATGTATATTCAATATTAATATTTTATGAATAAATCTATTATTAATGAAAGACCACCTCGCCCAAAAAAATGTCTTCAAGTTCAATCAAACGTTAAATGGATCATTGTTATTTTGTCATTCATTTTAGTTTAGTTCATTATATGTATTTGTTTTTAGAGGTCAAACAGTATAGGTAAAATTAGTTTTGTATAAAGTTTAAGGTAGAAAATTCTTCGTAATAGCTGATCATAAGCATGGACATCAAAGTCGTGGTTTTTGAATATAGCTCTCTTTATATATTACCATTACTAATCTTGAGAAAGGTTAATGGATGTAGCATTGTAGCATTGTAGAAAAAGTGTTAAAATAAAATTGGTTTTGATCAGGTATTGGGTACTTATATAATATTATATTTAAAAAAAATATTAGTAACTCGTAGGTTATAAACTCATAAAAATTTAAATGGTTCCTTGCTAAGAGTTTCAATTGTTTATTATTAAATTAACAAAAATTATACTGCCCAGTTCCTAGATGACGATTATTATGAAAAATATCAGTATCTTTGTTTCATATTTATACACGTGAAATATGTCTTACAACATAATATACTAGGTAAATATAAAGTTGGGACCACATCCAATAAATTACTCCAGTAAAGAATCTGGAATATACCAAGGAAAGAAGGAGGGGCTATCCGTTTGGCTGTCCGTCAAGAAGTCACAAGATGAAAATAAAAACTGAAATTTGATAAGACAGTGTTAAAGAATAACTGGATAAAGATTTAGATCACTATATAATATTATATGAAACGTATTTACTGCAGAATTATTAAAACTTAAATGGTAGTTGGTACCTACCAATAACGAACAAATATATTATTACCTTCATAAAATAAAATGTAAGAAAATGTAATGAAAGTAGTCCAGGTCTTATACTTTTGTCTTGTCAAAAAAATCTTTTAATATGTAGTAAGAAGTTGATTGTATGAAGCGTATGAATAATTTTTTTTAATTATACGTTACACCAAAACTAAACTAACGTTTGGTATAAAGTAATGTATATGTATTTATGTATAATGATATCCATCAAAATGAAAATAATATACATATACCTAGGTACTATTAAAATTCTTCTTGTCCGAGGTAAAAATAAAAACTAATAATTAAATTCCACAAAACTAAACGACTTGCTATATCTATACGATATAGACTATACCTACTCCAAGCATTTGATTGACGCCAAGGATATTAAAACAAATTTTACCTCCGTCTTTTTTTCATATTATTTATATTTAATACATATTATTTTTAAATTTGTATTCTTTTCCTTATATATTAATATCTGATTACCTTTTTAAAATATTTATTCGTTGATAGATAAATTATGGATATTTCAGTATAATGTCCTACCAATTAAAAAAATAATTTTAATATTTATCTAAATTTTTATAATTTATATTTTATCAAATTATTTTAACATGACTAATTTATTATCAATTAAATTAGTAAAATTATTTTCTAGATTTGCTTCATTATAATATTATATCTAATACCTATTATGTTTTGTAATATTATATGCTATAAGTTATAACGTTTAGGTAACCTATTATCTTTAGGCTTTTAGCTTAGGGATTACCCATGTACATATATATTTTTTGAATACAGGACATTTTTAAATCATACTTATTATAACTTAATCAATTAACAGTCTGTAGCAATTGTAGTGTGGTACCCCATGTAAGGACATAGTCCCTCAAAACTTTAGCTCTTAACTCAAAAGTTACTATCCAATCACATTGAACAATTTATTTTACTTTTTCAGTATAGGTTATAGCCTATAGGTTATATGATATAGTTTTTTATACTAAATATTTTGAAACGAAATGGACATACATGTAACATAATACAAAATTAAAATACAAAGTACAATTTCTTATGCTGCAAGTTCTTAGTAAAATATTTATTTTTAACCTCGAGGTAACATTCATTATTTCCTTAGACTTATAAAGGATAACTACTTAAATAAATTAAAACTTAAATTTAATACTTGTAATTAATACAATGAAAATAAATTACTAACAATTAGGTAAATTTCCCTATGCTAATTTTATGCTAATGATTTTTTTTATAAGCATTTTTAGTTCAAATTTTGACAACATTTATCACATTTAGAATTTAATAATAATTTTGTAGTTAAAAATATATTAAATATTCAACTTTTATAGCTAAGGATTGAAAATTTAAAACAAGATTACTTCATAATATCATTGGCTGACTTACCTTTTTCGCTCAGAATCGTTTTTCTTATACAATGATATTATATCATTGAATTCAAATTTAACACCATCCATTACAGTGACCCACTTGTAACTTACTGTACAGCAGAGCAACATCCACTTACCCACCCCTTCTTAAAAGCTGAATTTATAGTTTGTAAAAACTTTAATTCAGTACTACACTGCTACCAGTCTACCCCTACAATATTTGCTCAAGTCCTATACATTAGGTAGGTACATCGAGAAAATAATTTGTTAACAGATCTACTTTTTTTTTTTTGTTTATTTACAGCATATTATAAAAGTTCAATTTATCTGGATCAACGTTGATCACTATACCTGATCACTTGATTGTTTTCTATTTTCGAAATATCTAGTTTACTCATCATGCAGTTAAGACTTCTATAAATAGTTCTATTACATTAGCATAAGTATGCCGATGAAATAAAGATGTTCCTTATAGAATATACAAATTCCGCCGATACCGACGAGTTATATACTGCATGTCTGCATTTATTATATATTATATAATATTATATTACTATATAATATATTAGATAGGTGTATATTTTAATGATGTCTATGTTATTATAACTTTCTCCTTTCTTATGCCTTTATGATATTTCTTTATTTTTCAACAATATCCTAACGCGTTACCACTTACCAGTTTACGTCTAAAATATCGATAAAAATATTTTCACTGTGTCAACCATTTCAAAATTTAATTTTTACAACATTTTTATAGCTAAAAATTTTAAATTTAAAACAATATTTCTCATAGTAGTTAGTAGTGTGTTTTAGTTCCTTCTGTACCCCCCGCAAATCCGGCGAATCCGGCTACCCCGCCCAGCCTATAGTTATATGCTATCACGACCGTGCTCGGCCGTGCCCCCTCCCCTCTCAGCCATGCCCGGCCATGCCCGGACATTCCCCCTCCCATCTTTACCTCTCACATACATACCCACCCCTCCCCCAACCCCTAAAAAATTATAATAATAATACCGTTTGAATAGTGTTGAATAAGAAAATTAAATAATATTCAATCGTTTAATACATATGATTGAAATATTATATAGGGGAAAAATTAACCATCAGTTAAAATATGATATTATGGAATATGAAAGTATACAATTTTTAATTACTCTGATCTTCATATAGTAAATAAAACTATTAACTAATGAGTTAGTGTAAATGTATAATTTTATAAGTTTCTCTTTAATGGTTTTTAACTTTTAGTAAACAAAGTCATTAATAATCATACTAGTTTATGTATTTCAATATAATAATATGTAGAGTGGTGTTTATATAACATTATCAATACCAATAATATAGCTAGTATATTTTTTCAATTAGCCTAGAAATTTCACATTCAAACAAAATTCATTAGAACAATTACATTATTATTTTTATATTAACATGATAGACCAAGTTTTCCAATATCTTAATTAAAGATATTAATGTGTTATGATTTACCTATTATGAAAAATAGATTTACTAATGACTATGTAACGAGGTCAGATAAATCATATATAAGGGGACTGATTTAACTCAAAGAAGTCATACTGTTCTTCAAGCTTCTTGTATACAGTGTACGTGTCACTATTGTTATTAGTCCAGTGTTTATTTACATATCAGTAAAAATGTTCAAGTGCGGTGTTTGCGACAAAATTTTCACCACGAAGTCTAATATGCTTAGACATAACAGATCGCATAACAAAAACAAATTTTCATGTATCGAATGCCAACAAATGTTCAGTCGTCGGGATGATCTTGTAAATCATGTACAGAAAAAACATGGTATGTATTATATTTAATATTATATAATTGAATAATAATTAAAAAATATATAATCACTGAAGTAAATAACTGAATATTAACATTCGGTATAGATATAATAATATAGTATAACTCATAACAATAATCTTCGATTCTATAATTATTATTTCTCTATTTTAGGTTTCATTAAATATGGTGCTGAATACAATAAGGCTATAGGTATCAGACAACAGTCATTAAGTGAGTAGTAATATTATTATATTATTTAAATGTATTAGGAGTAATAATAATAATAATAATAATTTTTTTATAAGGTTCGGGTGTCGTAGATTGTGTAGCGTCCTCGTCAAATGCGAATGTTATCATTCCACCGCAAGCCCCCACCCCTCCCACTCCGTCAGTTAAACGTACTAAAACCAACTCGGCGCGTAACATTGTGAAGTTTAAAAAGGCCCGCATAGGAATGGTTAATACGCCGGGTTTTATCGAGCTCGACTCTTCGCTGGATAGGACCGTAGTGTGGTATTATAGAGGTAATACCGAAAACTATGTGAGTTATGCAACGTTTTTAGACTCAATAAAACTCGAGTTGATGAATAAAATCAACGATTGCGTGCGTATTAATCCTATAAAATATAATTTGAAGTTGGAGAGCATATATGTGCATAGGGAATTACCAGCCGAGGATAGGGCATTTAAAACCGTGTCGAGGGAGGTGTATATCCATAGCGATGTGAGTGCTATGGTCGATGAGGACTTTGCAGCACTCATGTCGGAGGAGGATAGGTATATGAAAAAGGGGTCGGGCTTCACCCTATCCACTATCAATGGCCTGTTACTAGGTATCTATGAACATACCCCTCTTGGAGGGTCCTCGTATATTCCACTCCCAGAGAATATTATGCGGAAAAAGGCCGTCATCAATCCCTTGAACATTGACGATGACTGCTTCAAGTGGGCTATTCTAGCTAGACACGTGTCAGTAGGTCACCATAATCATGTAGGTCAAAAATATTATAATGAGGAGCATCGATACGATTTTTCCGAACTATCCTCCCCGACACCTATTTCGGAAATCTGTATATTTGAACGACGAAATAGGGGGGTGTCGGTAAACGTATACGGATTGAAACCTGGTAAGGGTGGTAAGGTGGGTAAAGGAGGAAAGGATGGTAAGGGGGAAAAAGTCGGTAAGGAGAGTGTAGTGTATCCAATCAGGGTTGTTGAAAATGAGAAGGCAGATCATTTCGACCTTCTCGTAATTGAAGGCTCAGAACGGATGCATTATACATACATTTCAAATTTTTCGCGGCTGGTGCGGAGCCAGAAAACATCTCACAGAGGTAAACTATTTATATGTAAAAGGTGTTTTACCTCATTTGATGAACAGGTTAAAAAAAATAAATTGTGTGGTAATGAGGCTCTCAAACAACACATGAGGTTATGCGGGCCTAATAAACCGATTTTACCAGTTATGCCGGAGGAGGGAGAAGTGCTCAAGTTTAACGGGTGGGGTAGCATGCAGCGTCATCCGTTTGTGATATACGCAGACTTTGAAGCCCTACTCGAAAAACAGACGGAGCGGGTGGGAGCGAGCACCGACGGGATACATGCACATCACCCAATGAGCTACGGGTACTTTGTCAAAGCGGCGGCGGACGTACCCGTAGAATTGATGGAGAAATACGATATACCGCAGACGCCGGTCATATATCGCGGGTCGGAATCGCGTGACGAGGTAGCCAAACACTTTGTCGCCAGTGTGACCGATATTTCCATCAGGTTGGGGAACCTGTTGAAAGCGACTAATGTGCCGATTTCGATGAGTGTGGAGGAGGTACGCGTGCATAACGCGAAGAGTGTATGCGATATGTGTAAATTACCGTTCACCGAGACCAGATGCAAAGTACCCGACCACTGTCATCTGTCGGGGCGGTTAAGGCATACACTCTGTTCACCGTGTAACCTCAAGCTTGTCACACCCAAGTTTGTACCGTGCTTCCTACACAATCTCTCGAAATATGACGCACACTTTATCGTAACCGAACTCGGTTACGACAAGGAGTCGATAACGGTGATCCCCAACAGCGAGGAGAACTACATCTCGTTCTCGAAGCGCCTCATGCCCGGCTTCAGTGTAAGGTTCTTGGACTCGTGTCGGTTCATGGCCTCGAGCCTGGCCGAGTTGGCCGGGAACCTCCTCACGAAGCCCGGTGAGTTTGGCAAGTTCCGCGAGACCGCCAAAGCGTTTCAGCCCTCCGACATGCCTCTCGTCACGCGAAAGGGCGTGTTCCCATACGAGTATACCGACAAATGGTCGAGACTCGAGGAGACCACCCTGCCACCGAAACGTGAGTTCTACAGTATGCTGCTCGAGAAGCACGTGACTGATGAGGACTATGTACATGCGACGGAGGTGTGGCATCATTTCAACTGTACAACCCTCGGTGACTACAGCGACCTATACCTGAAGGTCGATGTTCTCCTTCTGGCCGACGTGATGGAGAACTTCCGAGACCTATGCATGTCAACGTACAACCTCGACCCCGTGTATTATTATACGGCACCGGGGTTTACGTTCGACGCCATGTTGAGGTATACGGGCGTTTCACTGGAGTTACTCACCGATTACGACATGGTGCTCTTCATGGAACAGGGTATAAGAGGGGGGTTGGTCCAGGCCAGTGAGCGGTACTGTCGGGCAAACAACCCCAAGACGCCGGGATACGATGCCGAGAAACCACCATCATGGCTCGTCTATCAAGATTGTAAATATATAACGCTTATACAATTAATTATATTACTAACTTTAAACCTTCTTACAGGCAACAACTTATACGGGTATGCAATGGGAGAGTACATGCCCTACGGAGGGTTCAAGTGGTATGAGAGGGATTTGGATCGCTCTCTAGAGCTGTTGGACGGTATGACTGACAAATCCGACGTTGGGCGTATCTATGAGGTAGATATCGCGTACCCAGACCATCTACATGACGCGCACAACGATCTCCCCTTCTTACCTCGGAATGCCACACCCCCAGGCTCAAAAGTGAACAAATTAATGGCCACGCTGGAACGTAAAGAGCGGTATATAGTGCATTATAGAAATTTAAAGCAGGCCATCGCTAACGGGTTGATAGTGGAAAAAGTAATATATATAATACATGTTCTCACCTGAATTAAATCACGTGAAATTAACCTTGATAAATAATTATAGGTTCACAGGGTGTTGGAATTTAAACAGTCTGCGTGGTTGGCTAAATATATAAATCTAAACACCGAGATGAGAAAAAAGGCCAGCAACGAATTTGAACGTGATTTCTTCAAACTGTTGAACAACGCCGTGTTTGGTAAATATCTCAATGATATAGCCTGCCATTATTACACACTATCATATTGTACTACATTATTATTATAATTTCCAGGGAAGACTATGGAATGTGTTAGAAACCGTATATCCATGGAATTGGTGTCCTGCCCCCGACGAATGCGCAAACTCATAAATAAACCCACCTTCAAACACGTCACCACGTACACCGAGAATCTGGCCGCCGTATCCCTACAACATAGTGACATACGTTTCTCCAAGCCTATTTACGTAGGGTTCGCCGTCTTGGAAATAAGCAAGGAGTTGATGTACGACTATCATTACAATGTGATGCGGCGGCATTATAACGACTCGATTAGACTGATGTATATGGATACAGGTACTTACGATATAATAAATATTATTTACACTCAAATATCTAACGTACGTAACACCTTTATAGATTCCCTGGTGTATCGGGTGTACACTGATGATTTCTACAAGGACCTGGTGGACAACCCTACGCTCCTCGAAAGGATGGACACCTCGAATCTCCCCGTAACACATCCGTGCTACGTTGCTACACGTAAGAAAATACCGGGATTGTTCAAGGACGAGACGGCTGGCCGTACTATGTACGAGTTCATTGCACTCCGGGCGAAATCATACGCCTACAAAATCGAAGGGGACGAAAAACTCGTGGCCAAAGGGATTCGAGGGCATGTGGTCCGAAATCATATGACGTTCGAGGACCACAAGCGCTGTCTGTTCGAGGTCGACGACGATGACAACGCTGCGGATGGTACCGAGAGTGAGGAGGTGGGTGACGACGACGATGACTACATGGAGGACGACTTTGACGATGACGTAACGCTAAAGGGTGAGGAGCTGAAACGGCGTGCTCGTCTGATGGCCCGATCGGTCATCCAGACGATACATGAGAATGCCGCCGCTGATACCGCCGCCAACATTGCTGGAGTGGAATTTGTTCCAACACCACTCCCGTCCTATACACCGTACACGCCGTACAGGGAGAACGTATCAATCCGATCGTTCGAGCACCGTATCAAAACGATTAAGACCATGAAAATGACCCTTAATCGTTTCGACGATAAGCGCGTTGTCGACGACGATCGGGTACGTACACGCGCCTACGGTCATTACGCGTTACGCGTGTGATATTATCTCGTATATATTTACTTTGAGTATATAACTCCACTTGTATGTATTATAATTATATTGTATTTTATAGACTTGTTTAAATAATTGTGATATAATAGTATAATAATATGTGTATAATTAAATAAAAAATATATACAATTGTATATGTTAGTAAAATATATAATATAATAGTTCCATGTGTAATTAAAAATATAATATATACAATTAGATACGATAGTTAAATACATAAATATTAATATTAAACTATGTTGAGCTGGTGTACCTGCCATACCGTTCCGTGAGTGCTTGTGCCGTGCCGTGCCGCGCCATACCATGCCATGCCTTGTATTATACGATTTAAGAATTATTTATAAACCATTTACGTATGGCGAAAACTTTGTAGAACGTACATTGTTTGGGGTTGAACTCCATGTGAAAAATACAGCAGGGTAGAGTCATATCACCACCACCACATATTTGATCCAATCGAGGACAACCCATATCTTCGATGTTGACGAGTGCAACGTGTGGAATATGTTCCATGAGAAGTTGTTTTTTCTGCTCACCCTTCACGTAAATACAGTCGAACTTCAGTGAATTCAATACCCGACCGAGCTCCTCGTACTCGACATCACCATATTCCAGAGATAGTTGATGATAATTACGTTCAAGCCATTTGTTCGTTTTCCGACTCTTATTGTCCTGTTTAGAGTTGGAATTCTTGAAAATCCAGTGTTGGCACGCCCATGTTTCCGTGTCCACCACAGACATTTCTTTTATCATATATTTATTGTCAGCCCCGAGAACGCACTGAATGTCTACGATAGCCGACATTATTTTCGATATTTTATTCTAAAATATTATATCTATTCTCGATAGTCTTCAAACGTTTTTCCAGGACTGAAATAAACGACGCTAGATCTGATAAAGGTTTTCTGATACGAGTTTCAGACTCTAATAGAGATTTTGTACCTCGCCGAATATCGTCTTCCAACGATTTTATCTTCACTTGTAGATCTGTGATATCACCTTTCAGAGTACTTATCTCCGACTGCAGTAGCTTTGTATCGTATAGAATCGTTTTGTTACTCGATTGAATGTATGAAATAGTATTTTTTCTACGTCCGTCCAGTGAATTATTGAAAATATCCATAATCAATATACATGTTGTCCATACGAATCGTATTATACTACTGAAATGAGTTTTCAAATACCTAGTGCATTAAACTCAACTATTATGTGTGTATGCAGGTACATCTATCGAGGTCATAGAGTATACTAAAAGTTAATTCTTCCTAACATAATTGTCTTCGATATTTTTCACACGTGTAAGTAAGTCTGAAATATACGATCCGTGATTGGGCAGGGAATTTTCATAAAATTCTCCATTGATATCACTTAATATATTATTTAAACGAGCGATTTCTTCTCGAGTTAAACTAATTACTGTACTACTTTCGACATAGTTATTAAATAGTTCTGAAACACGGTTATCAGAATTTAATAAAGACCTATTGTTGCGTTGTATATCACCCTCCATCGATTTTAATTTCTCTTCGAGATTTGTGATATAACTTTTCATACCATCTATTTGCCCCTTCAATAATTTTACATCGTACAGAATTGTTTTATTACTCGAATGAATGTGTGAAATAATATTCTTTCTACGTCCATCGATAGAGTTATTGAAAATATCCATTATCGATACGTGTTATTCAGCTGAATATGAATATACTACTGAATTGGACGGTCACAATTTAAGGTCGCTAGCTTTTAACCAACTATTATGCGTCGAATCAAATCCCAACCACTTGACAAACACTTGATTACCTTTTTTACGTATAATTTTCTCGATTAAATACTCATTTCGGTGATTAGTCTTGTGTATTTCCTCGGAATAAAAACATCCAGCAATCGGTTTTCCAGTATAGTCTTGCAACTGATATGTAACGGGTAATGTTTTATTTATTTTGATAATTTCAAATATTTCCGTAGACCAATTGGGTAAATAACCTTTTGTAAACACCCCTTTTTGGGTACTAATCCGCACGTTATCACCTACTTTGAATTTAATTTTTACATTATTGATTTCACGTTGCTTTATTTCCACCGTAAGAGGGGCTGCATCCGCCTGTACCGGTGTCATTCCAATAGTTCTGTGTTTCGAATTATTATATTCCCTAAGCAACCCAGGTAGAATAGAAATCCATTCGTGAGAGCCTTGGGCAGTAAACTCTCTAAACATTTTCTCCTTTAGCGTACGATTGAAGCGTTCAACGATACATGCTTTCATGATACTGTATGTAGAATATTTGTGTATACCATATTTATCCATCAACTCATCAAACGTCTTGTTATAAAATTCTTTCCCATTGTCCAATTGTAAAAGTTTTGGCGAGCGATCGTGTAATATTTTAGACATAGCACTAGTGACTTCTCTACCGGATTTTGCCCTCAGAGGTAGAGCCCATGCGAATTTAGTAAAACAATCAATCACGCATAAAATATACTTATAGCCTTTGTTTTTCCTCGAATATGGTATCATTTCAACCAAGTCAGCTTGCCACAAATCATTTTTTCCATATATGTTAACTCTACGCCTCGTATAATTTCTCCGCGATGGTTTGTGGAGTTCAACGGCAATTTCACGTTTAGACATTTGGAATTCGTTTGATTAACCCAGCTTCACGTAATTCCTCGAAAATAGATATTATCTCATTCGTGACACCTGTATTACCCGCTGATTTAGACGCTAGAAGTAATCGAAGTCTATCGACCAACTCGTTTGGGTCGTCCCAATACACTAAGTTATTTTTCTGTACTTTCATAAGCAGTTCACCACCGCGACCACCACCACCGGTGGGGAATAATTTACTTATAATATTTTTATATTTTTTACATTTAGTATTTCTAATTGTCGAGCCTGATGCTGTTAAATGCGCTGATGTTTGAATTAATATCGATTTGTATACCTTTAAATCGTTATCCGTATAAACGGCGGGGTTTTTTAAAAACAATAGTTGAATAATACCCGAGGTTGTTGGATAAGTAGTATCGCCAATAAGTATTATGTGTTGAGTGAATTTTACTTCTTTATCACCTAAGGTAATATCACCGTTTGCGAGTTTTTTCGGACCAAATGTTCTATCTATATCCGTTGACTGAAACCAATTATCAATTCCCCGCTGATAATTATCATAATCCTCCTCATTGGTATTAATGATTTCAGAATCCGGCCCAACAGGTTTATCTTCTTTCTTAGTCTGATTAGAGTATAGATCATGTGTATTCGATATTTTAGTCAAAGGATCTATAATAGGTTTGAATGTCTGCGTCATTAACTGCTGAACATTAGCTTCACCAGTTTTTAACGTAGAATATTTACGTTTTATACTTTCCTTAGCCCTCACCAACTCCTCTAATATATTACTTCCCTCCTTCATGACTGCGTTTTAAATGATATTTTTCACTATAAACACTAACTTATATAACCACATAGGTATCGAACCCGAATCGGTAACGCCCGCTATCACGCTCACTGTCTTTACAAATAACTACAAATGCAAACCTATCACGATTCCAGCATACAGTACAAAATGTTTTAAATTGAATATATGGCATATCGCCCGAACAATGTTCATTATATACATGTTTTAAATTAGTTTCATCTTGTTTGAACAATACTATTAAATTAGCATTATCTCGTATCAGTTGTTTAGGTACTTTTGAATAACTCTGAGCTAGATAGAATATATCTACTTTATTATGTCGTCCTCTGGAAAAATATTCCCTTATAACACCTTGCTGTTCCCCGATAACATCGTCCATGATGAATATAGAGTTTGGTAATACTTTTTCAGGAGTGATGACCTTATCGTTTTCGAAAAATGTAAACAGTTTAACCCCATCAATACCATCGATAATACGTTTCAGTAATTTATATTTCGGTTGTTCCAGGGTTTTAGAGTATATGTAAACGTTTTCAAATCGGAGCCCGTTTTCATCGACGAGTAGAAAATATATCAAATTCGTCTTACCACATCCCGAACTCCCCAAGACCAAAGATCGTATCGTATTTGGGAATAGCTCACCATGTCTAAACTGTATTGTATCAGGGGTATCAATGTTATAAATTCGAAGTTTTTTCTCTTGCTCGATAAAACGCATTTTGCCTGGCAGATGTTTCACTATAAATACAAATGTACTGTCTATTCAGGCGTCACACGATGTCTCACGTTCGTAAGCGAAACAACAATAAGGGTTCGGGTCTTATTAACTCGGTTATAAACCATTTACCGGTGGAATTACATTTACCCGGTTATCGGTGAGTCATCAGTACATCACATTATTCGATTATATCTAAACATTTGTGTTTCATTACAGATTTGCTGGCCCTGGTACTAAATTAAAAGAAAGGCTGGCCCGAGGTGATCGAGGTGTAAACAGTCTGGATGAGTTGGCTAGAGCTCATGACATCGCGTATGATAGAAGTAATTCACTAGCGGATAGACACAGGGCAGATGAAATATTAGAAAATCAAGCTTGGGAGGTGTTTAAATCTAAAAACAGTGGTATTAAGGAAAAAGCTGCATCTTGGTTGGTCACTACAGCTATGAAAGTTAAACGTAAGATGGGGGCCGGTTGTGGATTTAAACAAATGGTTGCGGCTGCTAAAAACTCAATCAAAAATAAACTGAAAGAAAAGAATATAACTAAACTGATAAGAACTTGTCTGACAGCGGCTAAAAAATCGAAAACTAAGAAAACTAAGACTCCTAGAATTATACCAATTCCTAAAAAGGGCGGTGTTTTGCCTTTAATACCTATTTTTGCCGGTTTATCCGCATTAGGTGCGCTTACTGGCGGTATCGGGAACATAGTAAAAGTCGTGAATGATTTAAAATCTAATAAAAACACCCCTATTCACTTAGGTAAGGGTTTGTATCTTACACCATACAAGGGGAGTTCTTATAAAATCGTCAAAGGTAAAGGTTTATTCCTAGCACCGTATAAAGGTGGGTCATTGGTGAAGAAATCTAGAAAACCATCAAAAAACTAATTGATACGCTACCCGATAGAGCATTGTATGATTATGAGATTATAAAATACATTGACTTGTTGAAAATACCTCATTTCATTGGAGTATTTTCCAGAGACAAGTTGCCTTTACATTATAAACATTGTGAGTCGGCTATAGTTAATTTGGATGTCGAAAAGGGTGAAGGAACTCATTGGGTAGCGTATAGAAAAATCGGTAAACAAGTTAAATATTACGATAGTTTTGGAAATTTACCCCCACCACTAGAATTACAGAAATATTTCAACGAGTGTAATATTGAATATAATTACGATAGGCATCAGGAATACAATACAACAAACTGCGGTCATTTGTGTCTAAGATTTTTATCATGTACACTATAACGTTAAACGGTAACTCCAGTGAATTATCTTGTGACTTTTTCCCACCGATAGAAGTCAGTAAAAATGCTAAGATCTGTCTGTTAGGTTTTCAGACAAACAATTCTATTCCTAATATAAACAGTAATTGTAATCAAATAGGTTTTATGAATAAGAATGATATGGTAGGTACAACTCCTCGCATCTACTCATTACCTACAGGCTCTTATGAGTTGAGTGAAATTGAAGCGGTAATAAAGCATATACTAACTGATTCAAAGATATCGTTCGAGTTGAAGGGCAATAATAATACGTTAAAATGTGAAATGTTGTGTAGCGAATCTATAGATCTGTCCATGCCTAATAATATCGGCGAGTTGTTAGGTTTTGAAAAACGGACATACGATGCTAATGTTAAACATCAATCGGATAAGTTGGTAAATATTACAAAAACAAACTGTATATATATCGAATCAAACTTAGTCATGGGCTCATTCAATAACGGAAAGCAGTGCCATACAATACACGAGTTTTATCCGAATGTACCTCCAGGTTACAAAGTGATAGAGATTCCAACACATTTGGTTTTTTATTCCATAAACTGTTCGTCTATTACACATGCAGAGATAACTTTAAAAAATCAGGACAACGAGTTAATCGATCTACGTGGAGAGCCGGTATCAATACGATTATTAATCAAAGACTTATAATGGGCTTACAGTTTTATAATATAAATAGTCGGATATACGAAAAACC